AGAAGTACCACGAAGTTCGTAGAAATTCTCAGAAGTTCGTAAGACTTCTTCCAAGTTCGAAGAACTTTCTCGAAGATCTGAGGACTTAACTGAATATATGAGGACCCTAAATTTAGCAGAGCTTCCCTGAAGTTCATAAGGCTTTAAATATCGAAGGGTTTTTCAAATGTTTGTGGGTCTTTCCTTAATTTCTTGGAAATTCCCTGAAGTTTGGAGAGCTCCCATGAATTTCGTAGGACTACCTGTAGTTCAATCGACTTTTCGGAAGTTCTAGGAACTTTTTTGAGCTTGAAGAACTATGTTAAGTTCAGAGGACTTCCCAAGAGTATTGAAGACTTCTCTGAAGCTCGAAAAAAATCCATAAGTGTCATAGGATTATTATTATGTTTTAAGCAATGCCTAAATATCGTAGAAGTTACATTAAATCTGTGGAAAATACTGTAAAATTCGTAGTTATTCCCCAAAGATTAAAGGACTTTCCTAAAGTTCGTAAGACTTCTCTAGAATTTGTAGAACTTCTCTGAAGGTTCAGAGAGATTTCCTGACCGTCTTAGGTCATCACAGTAGTTCACAGCATTTTCCTGAAACTTGTAAGACTTTCCAGAATTTTGTAGAACTTGCATGAAGTTCGAATGCCTTATCTGAAGTTTATAGAAATAGAGCTTTTTTATTGAACATGTTGAACAGGTACTTCAAAGTAGTTACGCGTCGGCACTGCTTAAGTCTGCTATCAATAAAGCAAAAATCATACATGCTATTGATTCGAGAAAAAATTAAATTAAATATAAATACAAAATATATTTACTAAATTATCAGGGTAAATTTTGTTCATCAATGTTTACTTGTGTGAAAGATTTGGCTTGTACAAAATGGTGGACTTATGAAATTCCTGGTTTTTTTTCCGGTTTTTCCTGGTGAAAATAAATTCCTGACTTTTTCCCGGTTTTCTGGTTTTCCTGGTTCACTTGCCACCCTTTTAGTGTGTGTGTGTGTGTGTGTGTGTGTGTGTGTGTGTGTGTGTGTGTGTGTGTGTGTGTGTGTGTGTGTGTGTGTGTGTGTGTGTCATCCTCTATCCCTCCACTTCACCCGGGAGCTCATTCCCGATGCTTCCACGCATATATATATTTTTTTTTTTTCTTCACTTGCCACCCTGTTAGTAGGACGGAAATTAGATCCAAAACCCTACCGAATACATACATCGTTTTCTGCGGAGAGACAATTGCGCTTTTTTATTGTGTTGTGAACCTTGATGGATAGGTGCCTCAATTGACGACAATTGACCTCAGTGGAAGAATCAGGTGAATGTTGTAGCAACCCAAGTCTTCAGTACGCTGCGTACCAGTCAGTTTCACCAGTCCTGTCCACCCCAATCAGAAGAAAATTAGTTCAATCGGTGATACCGCAGTAGGTGCCGCTGTTTACAATCCGGGACTGTCTGCGGCGTTTAAAGATCAGCTGGAACGCTGTTTCAAAGCAGCAGTTCTATTAGTCTACAAAATCGGGCGCAGGGAGTCAACAGTCGCTGTACTTAGTACAATACTAGGACACGACCTGATAACGAACTATCACCCGAGGATATGCTGTTTCGTGCGGCAAGGATTTGTTGGGAATCTGCCCGACTATCTACAGCAACAGCAACAGAAACGAGCACGTTCATTCATCATACCTTGACTCACTACCTCAGATAGAAATACTGAGTGCATACTCATAGCAGGGCCCATCATTTGGAACCAGCTCCCTCTGTCGACTAAACAACAAAGCACGATACTCACATTTACAGGAGCTCTATAAAGGCAAGGGTCCTGATAAAGAGTTCATCCACCAGGATTGCGTTAGGCTAAATAAACTACAATACAATACAATACAAGACCCTATTTGAAAAAAAAAATTAAATCGGGCAAACAAATCTGACATAGGGGAAATGACGGCTTCGGCATGACAGACTATTTTCGGCAACCCAAATTGAAACACTATTTTCACTGGATTTTCTTACGAAAACACTTCGCTGAATGCATGCAAACGATTCTTTATGCTTTCAGCTTCAACTTGACTATATTTTTACCACCGAGAAAAAGCAATCTAGCAGGGTTTTCTTGAAATGAAACACACGCACTACAAATTGTAGCTGATTTCGAGTTGCCGATAATAGAACAGCAGATTTACATGCAGTTCAAATGGAACGGTTGCCGAAGAAAAACTGGTTGCCGACAATACTCGCTCTCACTAGAGAAGATTGGAGCTTTGTTAAAGCGTTTCAAAACAGTTTTTGACAATTCTTTCGACTGAAATTGTTAGAGCAGCTGGCAGCAAAAGATTGTAAACAAACCAATACTGCATATGTGTGCGTTCCATAGAGAAAAAGGGTATAGAAAGAAGGTCGCTGCTTAGGTTGCCGAGAATACGTAAATTCCCCTACGTAATTATCGTGGTATAGCTATTATCTCTTGCATTCCGAAACTTTTCGAGGCGATTGTAAATGAATAGCTATTTCTTCAAAATAAAAACAGAATAACTACTATGCTTCTTTAAAGACCGTTCAACAACTACGAATTTGCTCGAATTAATTAATTATTCCTTTAATGCACTGGATGATCGAATTTACATACCCATGCTTATTTTTAAACTTAAAAAATGGGAGCTCCTTACGCACTCCTCAAGTGGCTTGAATCATATTTAACTGACCGCCATCAAATAGTACAATACAAAGGAAAGACATCAAATCCTGTTGATGTCACTTCAGGAGTTCCTCAAGGCTCCCATTTAGGTCCGCTTTTATTTATTATCTTCGTCAATGACATATCTTTCATTATTAAGAAATTGAAAGTTTTAATCTATGCTGACGACATTAAACTTTTTTCAGAAATAAAGACATCATCACATTTAAAGAGAAAATACAGATATTCCATACTTGGTGTCAAAAAAGCCTGCTTCAATTAAATATAAAAAATGTAACTCAATTACCATTAGTAGAAAACGAATCCTACCCGATATAACAATCACTTTAGGAAACCTGATCGTAGAAAAGTGTGATAGAGTCAGGGATCTAGGTGTTATTTTGTACTCAAAACTTACTTTCACAGATCATTATAACACAATTATTAACAGAGCTAACAACATGCTGGGTTTCATAAAACGTTTCGATACGTATACGATAAAAACATTGTACATTGCTTATGTTAGGCCGTTATTAGCATAGTTTGGTTTCATCCACACACGAAGAAAGAATACAGTCCGTTCAAAAGCAGCTTCTATTGCATGCACTCCGCAAGTTAGGTTGGACTGTATTTCCTCTGCCATCTTACACAGCTCGGTGTATGCTCATTAATATCCAAACATTAAAAGAGCGTCGTGAATTTGCTTTGACTTCAGTCGTAAACGATATCGTATCACATCGCATTGATTCAATAGAACTAGTGTCATCCTTAAATTTATATACACCATGTAGGCATTCACGAAATAGAAATATATTTGCTATAAACTGTCATCGTACGAATTATGCCAAATTTGGACCCTTGAACTAAATGATGGACACATATAATAAGCACTGCAATAACATTGACTTTACAATGACAAAAACAAAATTAAAGCAATATTTTAATTCCTCGCATAACGTCAGCTAGAGGTAATTTTTTTTAATTTGTTCTCAAGACATACTATAAAAATATAAACAAAGACAAAATTGTAAAAATAGCACTGAAGACAATAATTGTAAAACGGTCTACACTGATTGACGACAAATAAATAAATAAATATTTCTGGAGGATCTAGAAAAAAAAAATCAAAACAATATTCCACGGCCAAGTTCGAGTGGTAGGAAACATCATTTTAAACTGCTCGAATGATATGATCCATTGAATCAGAAAGGCGCAATTCAAGCTCCTTTTTCATTATAAATTAACAGAAGCTCTGACTAGAGGCCTCCCGATTGGGCAGGATGTCCTGTTCATCGTCATCACGCTACGTCAAAATAATTAAAAAATCCTCGTCGAGGTAAATTATACATTCAAAGCGCACTGTCTGCACCACCAGGAAACGTACACCATCTATCCAAATCAGTGAAATCAACCGTGTCTGCCAAACAAACAGAATCCAAATAAAAAAAATTGTATCAAAATAATCCATTTATATTTCATACCCATCGCACACAAAATCCAAACAAACGCACACAAAAAAAGAACCTCCTACAGGGAACAAAAAGCGTGAAACAACACGGGCTATACAATAGGCCCACGAAGCACAATAATACCACATAATGGGCATCAAACACAGGAGAAATTATTATTATTCCAAAACAGTTTTTAAACGACCCACCAACGACCGAACGCGTTCGCGAGAGTTTGCTCAGCTCACTCGCGTCTTCCGCATTACCACCACCGATCTCCGAATGCCCATTATATTTTAACAGTCGAATGCGCGTCGCCCGGAGGCTTCGTTCTTACTACCACAAACCGCGAATACTATTGTTCGGCTCCCGACATTCTTGGAATGACGACGACAACGATGATGATGACGTGACGACCAACAAGGTTGACAGATTGATGCCTTCCAATGAGCGCGAGCGAGCGAGCACAAAAAAAAAACACTGAATCATAATACGAAGGTATGTATATATACCTAACAACGTACTACAAACATTCACCAGACAGCAGCCGAAGAAGCCGAGATGAAATAAAAGCATAATAATAAAGAATTCATAATCGTGAAAAAAGCACTTTGAATGAAAACAATGATAAATTTTTCAAACGGCGCGCACATTTGCGCGTTATTTGGAATACTGAATAGGCAGGTAATCTACGGTCGCTGACAGGACGGATGGACGGACGGACGGACGGACGGACGGACGGACTGCGATTGATGGACGATTGTCCCCCAACTTCTTCATGCGCTGGGAGGGCGTGAAAAATGGGGACATTGTTCCACCGCGGACCATGAATCAGGTGACACGTGATTTGTCTTCTGCGCTGAGTGAGCAAGTAGTAGGCAGTAGTGGCGGGACTTACCTCGGAACCGCGAGACCAGGCGGCCACAATCGAATTGCAGGTCAGCAGCTCCTTCTCGGCTTTCAGGCACGATCGGCCAAACTCGCGGGACATGATCTCCAGCTCCGGCGTCGAGCCCTGGCACTCGTACAGCACGATGTGCTTCATGAACGGGAGATTCGAGCGGGATTCGATCACGGGTTCGTACTGAAACGGAAGGAGAAAAAAGAAGAGGAAAAAGATGTAAAGAAACGATCATCATCATCAGTCTTTTTGGATTCATTGCTTGGTTGGTTGGTTGGTTGGATGAAGAGATGCAAAAATGTTTCTCGAATTTGGACGTTGTCTTTTATATGTACATTGAATCGAAACAGAGGAAGAGAGACAGAGAGGGAGAGCAAATCGGAGCAATGGGAAATAAAGATTGTTTTTAATTGTTTCGAGATTCGTGAGAATCGACTTAATTAATGGCGATGGGCTGACGGCTGGGAATGGGAAATCGGTGCAGCAGCAGCAGCAGCAGCAGCAGTAGCATAAACTTCTCCAAACCGAAGCAAACACAATAAAAACGATTAAAGTTTATGTTGCTTCCCGGGTCTCCTAGGTTGGTTGTCTGTGTTGAGGAAAGTTTTTCTTCCTCCGTAGCAAAGAGGAAAACCCAAATTGGTGAGAAACATTTTCTTTTGGGGAGCTTCTTCTCCAAAAGAGGGTTTATGAAGTTATAAAAATTAAGCTTTTGAGTAGGGTTAAACTGGGTGCGGTATTGTGTGGACTATAATGACGTGGGTAAAAATTATAGTTGAAAATCAAACTTGGCAATAGGGGCATGGATGGGGATTTGAGGGGAACCGTTGTCAATACAGACATCACATTTTATGCAATGAACATCGAAATGTGCGTCGAATGTGTCTTTCTAAAATTTAAGTTAGGTATCACGTATCTGTTAATCTGTCAATCTTTCAATGTGTCAATCAGTCAATCTGTTAATCTGATATTCAGCTCCATAAAAAAAATCTATCCGATGTTCTCCATGATGGTAAATTTGGAACTGGTTACCCAATAAGAATTACCGTTTGTGCCCTTGTAGGAAAATATGAATAAATCATAAATGGTTCTAATTTCTACGCCAAGTTACACAGCAAAAAAATTATTTTAATATTACATCCAAGAGGATGCACTTCAATCATGTCGAAAATCTCATGTAATTTTTATGGCCACTAAAATAAACAAATGCAGTAAAAGCAGTGTAATGTCATTTCATGCACTGTATTAAAGATATTTTTTTCCTTTTTGGCAAATAACATTACACCATATTTTTGACACGACTGAAGTGCATCCACTTCGATTTGATATTAAAATTAATTTTTTGCTGTGTAGTCTTTGAACACATAAGCGGGCACAGAAGAAGTGGCAAACATCTTCCAAACTGGCACCGACACACGGAGGGGTATTTGTTCTACGCTAGCTGGCCTAAAGTCAATTTCTCAAAATAAGCCAAAACAGATTCTGAATTTTAGGTATATTTTTCTTGTTTCATAATTCCATCAGATGCGTGTGGATATGAATTCTGATACGAGTGTGCTCCACAGTTGAGAATAGTTTGTGGATCCAATGCAACTATAGTTTGGCAAAACCCAACTCCATCTTCACCTCGCTACTGTCGCCCAATACGCATTATGTGTATCGAGGAATCATCTGAGGTAATTAATGAAGACATCACATATATTAAAAATGAAATTGATTCGCTATGGTTACAACAACATTTACATTAAATGGCAAGCAGTTCACTATTAGACATACTTTTATGCTCACTATGGTTAATGCGAAAGTGTGTAATGCAGCAGCTGAAACGACATCAACGATGAAATATTATGTATGTGGCGCAAGTTCAAAGGAATTCAATAATCTTGGTGTTAAAAAATAAATAAACACAGATTTTCTTAAATTCGGATTATCCAGTTTTCATGCCAGGATTCGTATTTTTTACATCTTTCTTACAAGTTGCCGATCAAAAAATGGCGGTAAACTGGCAATGAAAGGCAAATCGTCAAAGAAAGAAAAGAACACATTCAAGAAAACTTCAGAAAGAAATTAGGACTCCTTATGGAATTTCCAAAACCAGGCTTTGGAAATTCGGATGGCAACCCTAGTCTTAGATTCTTTGCTGATTCGGAAACCGCTGCTCAAATAACAGGGTTGATTTTAATTTAATCTACCGGCTTAAAGTTATTATTGGAGACACTAGCTAGTGGTTTCAAAATTGATACGGAAAAATTTGAAACATTTACTCAAGAAACAGCGGAGACATACGTTCGAATGTATCCACGGTATTCTGTGACTCCAATTCTGCATATAATTTTAATCCACAGTTATAGAACATGCACTGCTGCAAATCAAGGTTGCAAAGACTCATTTCAGCTAAAACAATGTTTTTCTAAATTATGAAATAATTAGATGCCATGATCAAATTTTGAATTGGTAGGATACAAGAAGAGGTTGCAAAGAATGTGTTTGACATATTAAACCTGTTTATTTCACTTCATGAGAATCACAATCAGCGATTTTTCACAAACTCACTCACTCACTCACTCACTCACTCAGCGATCAGCAAATCGCTGATTGTGACTCATAGAAAGCAAAATTTACAGGTTTTATGTTTCCAACGCATACTTTGTAACCTCTTCTTGTAAGTTGCAAGTAAAACATGCCATCATACCATCTTTTGGTTTTATTATTCCGAAAAACATAATTTTAGCTGAAATGAGTCTTTGCAACCTTGCTGCAAATATGACAGTTGTCAAAAGAAGCTATACAACATGGATGTACTGAATAGACTGCTGCTTAGTTCTGATCCTGAAATCACAGGTAAACAGCGTTATGATTATCATACGTGAAAGACAATAAATATTATTTTAGGATTAATAAAAATCCCTCAAAAAATGTCAAGGGTTTTTACGACAGAAACATTGCAAATGTTACTCTCAGAGGACTTCATGCAAAAAAACGAAGATCAGCTGGAAAAATTTGAGATGGAAGAAACATATGAAACAGACATAAAGTCATTAGGCATAATGGACGTTAGGCATAATATACGTTAGGCATAATGGACGTTAGGCATAAAATACCTTGCTGCTGTGCAACTCTAGAAACCTGTTTCGAGCATGGGAAACTATGCTTAAATTAGGCTAAGCATTGAAAAAAAAAATGATACAAGTTAAACAAACATAGTTTATTTAATAAGCACAGTTTGGAATCCATTATTTATCATATCATAAGTAACGTAGCTACATATTTACTTAGATCCAAAATTAGTAGCGATAGCGGTTAAGTAATCTGGCAATAAAAACTCAGCATAGTTTTGAACTATATCTTGAAATCAATCAGATCTAGAAATAAAAAAAAATCACTCATTTGTTGTAATACATTCTTACACACACATTGCAATTGTCAAAGAAGAAAAGGTTTTCCTCAAATAACAGCTCATGAAATAAAGAATGGTAAATTCTGTGATTTTTCATTCAATTACAAAAAAACAGCTAAGGTTGAATAAAATATGATGCCAAAAAACAACTCATGAAATGAAGAATGGTGAATTTTCAAAAAAAAAAATTGAAAAATTCAAAAACAAAAAAACATACCTGCTGCTTATAGGATTTCCTGCCATACTTTTCGATACAACGATTCTGTTTTTGTTGTCATCAGAATGAAAACTAGCGGAACCGTCTGCTGATGTGAGGGAGCGATACTTTCATGAACAGTAACGAGTTGCCGAAACAAACAAGGAACTGTGGCAAACGTACCATCTGTAACCCAATACTTTGCCTGTCCAAGACGTCGCAAGTTTTCATGAGTTCCAAAAATTAAGGCTCACCGAAGTCAGCAGTCAATAGACGGTCCCCATTATCATCCTTCTCGAATTCATCGGGTAGATTATGCCTAGCGTCCATTATGCCTAACGCCCTTTATGCCCAACGTCCATTATGCCTATCGTACATTATGCCTAACGACCGTATGCCTAACGTCGTGCACCCTGTTTTTGTGATTGAATTGTAAAATATGTTGTTGCTGTATTATACTCGGTGTAATATAATTATTTTCCTAAGGTGAAAGTTGATGGAATCCACAAATTGCCGCTATTTTGTTTATTTTGCCATACCACTTCGAATTTTTGGCGCCTCGAATCTTTACAAAGTTTCCGTGCATGTATGTACGCTGCAGTGCTGCAAAAGAGTGATTATAATTTGGCACAAGAAATCCTTTTAGTTTCTGAGATCTGTGCCGTCAAAAATTCGAAGTAGCAAAGCAAAATAAACATAATAGCGGCCATTTGTGGATTCCATCAACTTTTACCTTAAATCTCAAATCTAAATATAAATATCTTGTTCTTTTTTAGCTGAACTTATTTTACAATGGCTGATTGTAAAACGTCAAAAAATCTTAAAACGCTATTATTTTCAACATTTATAACCATATCGCCAATTTTTCCAGGAGTTTCGAAAAGTTTGGCCTTTTGTTCACGGAAAATTCAGCATATTTGTGGTTCTGTGTCAAAATTTCAGCTCAATTGATCATAACAGAACAACAGTTACAACATGTCAAATTCGGCAAGTTTGTAAACATAGTTCGGCCTTTCGTGCTTTTTTATTAACCGCAGATGTAAGAGTATTTATATATTTTTTTATTTAAAGTATTATTCGTTCCCAACATTTCATCCTTTGACGGTAACTAAATCCTAAGAATACTTAACGACTTACAAATTAAAAAAAAACATCCTTATAACATGATCCTCCTCCTCCAAAACATGACGCCACCCTTGTTTGACCAAACAATTTTATTATCCTTGAATAATAAGATGTATGTGACTAGTTAGAGCGGTTAAATATTTTTGGCCAGCTAGAATTAATAAATACCCCACAGTGCGACATGCGACATTTTATTAGCATGTAAGTAATATATGTATACTAGACTGATGAGAAATTTGACTTTTTCGCTCCACAGTGCTTAAATGGTTTCAAATCGGGTCCTGATTAGCCTCCCAAAGTTACATCTCATTTGGTTAGAAACAGGCTTCGCACAAGCCATTTGAAGTTTACATGTAAATTACTATGGGAAATCTGAACTTTTTGTTCATTGCCTTCTAGCCTTTTTCCATATTGAGCTACGAAACAGTTCGATAGCCATTCTTATAGAAAATTTTCTCAGCTACA